GTGGACTTTAGCGTTCGGCAAAATTCTTCGTACTGTTATATTCCGCAATAGTGTAGAGAATTTAATATCTTAATTTGATATATATGGCTCGTGAAAAACAGTACACAACAAAAAAAAAATTAATTATTTGAACACAGCAACAAAGAACGATACCCAAACTAGGGCTAATAACAAATAATAATTTATTAAGTTAATTTAAAATTACAAAAATCAAATAGAATAAAACTAAGGCTATTGACTTATTGTACAGTATTAAACTTGTTCCGGGACAATGTTGAAGAGGAGCATACACACACATCATAAATATTAATTTACAAAATCTATGATCAGTACAAAGCTCTGTCTTTTTCGTATAGTAATAGCTCAATCCCCCCCCCCCTCCACCCTTTTTTTTTTTATTATGAAGATAGGCGTATTTTAAGTCTTTCTTAGAGACGTTTCTCTACTGGGTTCAAATTGGAACAGGCCTGACTCACATTTTATGTAACGCAACGAAAAGAAAAGCAAACAAAATGGTTGGGATACTTTAAGGAACTACTTAACAGACTTCCACCCACAGATACACCAGCTGTACAACCGAGCAATAAAGATGGACAAATCGAAGGCTGTGTATGGGTGGTATTTACAGTGAGTACACTGTTTACACTGCTAAACATTTGGACGGCCATATTTTTTGTAGGACAACTTTTGAAGTCTACTAGGACATGTAGCAATTTCCTCTTTTTTTTTTTAAACCTTCTAATTCATGGGCTTCAAACATTTAAAACATCCCTTCCTTCCCTCCACCTTCTCTCTCCTTTTGACCACAATGAAATGTTAACCGCTGGTTTATCTATGCTTAATGATTTTGATTTATGTACAAAAACATTGTCGTGATACAGCAACAAATGTCCATTTTGTTGGTTATTATACTTGTAGTCGTTGCTAAGATTACTCTACGCTACAAGAAGTCCAAATTTCTACATTCGGAAATTCGACCCAGTAAACAACAGATTGAGCATCACTGGAACAGTCTCCGGTCGTGGGCGAAGCGGATGGGTGAAAACAGATTTTAGATCACGTGAAATGTCCTTACTGGGACACGTCCTTACTGGGACATTAGCGTGTGGAGGGACGGATGCAGGTCAGTCGATGCTTGTGCTCAATGTTTGTTCACATGTACACAATAATAAATGTAAGCCCAAGTTAAATGGATAATTTTTTTTTAATTTCTCATCAGCTAATTGCAGTTAAAATCATCACACAGAACGTTTAAGAATTTTTGTGTGGAAAAAAAGCTTTCTTAACAAAAACGTTCTTAATTATTAAGAAACTTGTTTTTAAAAACGAATGTCGTATCAATGAAGATCTTAGTCAGGGAGATTATTTGACTTCACGAAACGAAACTTGTTTTTAAAAACGAATGTCGTATCAATGAAGATCTTAGTCAGGGAGATTATTTGACTTCACGAAACAAAACTTGTTTTTAAAAACGAATGTCGTATCAATGAAGATCTTAGTGAGGGAGATTATTTGACTTCACGAAACAAAACTTGTTTTTAAAAACGAATGTCGTATCAATGAAGATCTTAGTCAGGGAGATTATTTGACTTCACGAAACGAAACTTGTTTTTAAAAACGAATGTCGCATCAATGAAGATCTTAGTCAGGGAGATTATTTGACTTCACGAAACGAAACTTGTTTTTAAAAACGAAAATCGTATCAATGAAGATCTTAGTCATGGAGATTAATTGACTTCACGAAACAAAAATTGTTTTTAAAAACGAATGTCGTATCAATGAAGATCTTAGTTATGGAGATTATTTGACTTCACGAAACAAAACTTGTTTTTAAAAACGAATGTCGTATTAATGAAGATCTTAGTCAGGGAGATTATTTGACTTCACGAAACGAAACTTGATTTAAAAACGAATGTCGTATCAATGAAGATCTTAGTCAGGGAGATTATTTGACTTCACGAAACAAAACTTGTTTTTAAAAACGAATGTCGTATCAATGAAGATCTTAGTCATGGAGATTATTTGACTTCACGAAACGAAACTTGTTTTTAAAAACGAATGTCGTATCAATGAAGATCTTAGTCAGGGAGATTATTTGACTTCACGAAACAAAACTTGTTTTTAAAAACGAATGTCGTATCAATGAAGATCTTAGTCATGGAGATTAATTGACTTCACGAAACGAAACTTGTTTTTAAAAACGAATGTCGTATCAATGAAGATCTTAGTTATGGAGATTATTTGACTTCACGAAACAAAACTTGTTTTTAAAAACGAATGTCGTATTAATGAAGATCTTAGTCAGGGAGATTATTTGACTTCACGAAACGAAACTTGTTTTTAAAAACGAATGTCGTATCAATGAAGATCTTAGTCAGGGAGATTATTTGACTTAACGAAACGAAACTTGTTTTTACAAACGAATGTCGTATCAATGAAGATCTTAGTTATGGAGATTATTTGACTTCACGAAACAAAACTTGTTTTTAAAAACGAATGTCGTATCAATGAAGATCTTAGTCAGGGAGATTATTTGACTTCACGAAACAAAACTTGTTTTTAAAAACGAATGTCGCATCAATGAAGATCTTAGTCATGGAGATTAATTGACTTCACGAAACAAAAATTGTTTTTAAAAACGAATGTCGTATCAATGAAGATCTTAGTCATGGAGATTATTTGACTTCACGAAACGAAACTTGTTTTTAAAAACAAATGTCGTATCAATGAAGATCTTAGTCAGGGAGATTATTTGACTTCACGAAACGAAACTTGTTTTTAAAAACGAATGTCGTATCAATGAAGATCTTAGTTATGGAGATTATTTGACTTCACGAAACAAAACTTGTTTTTAAAAACGAATGTCGTATCAATGAAGATCTTAGTCAGGGAGATTATTTGACTTCACGAAACGAAACTTGTTTTTAAAAACGAATGTCGTATCAATGAAGATCTTAGTCAGGGAGATTATTTGACTTCACGAAACAAAACTTGTTTTTAAAAACGAATGTCGTATCAATGAAGATCTTAGTCAGGGAGATTATTTGACTTCACGAAACAAAACTTGTTTTTAAAAACGAATGTCGTATCAATGAAGATCTTAGTCAGGGAGATTATTTGACTTCACGAAACAAAACTTGTTTTTAAAAACGAATGTCGTATCAATGAAGATCTTAGTCATGGAGATTATTTGACTTCACGAAACGAAACTTGTTTTTAAAAACGAATATCGTATCAATGAAGATCTTAGTCAGGGAGATTATTTGACTTCACGAAACGAAACTTGTTTTTAAAAACGAATGTCGTATTAATGAAGATCTTAGTCAGGGAGATTATTTGACTTCACGAAACAAAACTTGTTTTTAAAAACGAATGTCGTATCAATGAAGATCTTAGTTATGGAGATTATTTGACTTCACGAAACATAACTTGTTTAAACGTGAACATTCTAAAGCAGGGTTGAGATAACCTATTTTGCGCCGAGGGCCTCGCGGAATTAATTTTTGTTAGCTGTCCGCATGATCATTTTTTAAGGAATCCAGAGTTCTAGACAAAATATTGCGCTAATTGTTGACAGATTAAAAATAAAATGACGGCGATGTGACAGCAAATGAATTATTGGATCAATAAATTGGACCAAATTTATTAAATTGAAAATAATTACGATGATGTGTTCATATTTGTTTTACGGGACAATAATACATTTTTATAGAAATTTTGGCAAATTTAGTTTGTTCCTGATTGACATTTCGATTCCATTTCAGCAAATACTTAGATGACGATTCTTTGTTGAAGGTCCGAAACTCGTCTTTAGTTATTCCCTTTAAAAAAAATTATTGCACTTATATTTATTGAATTTATTTCAATTATTTTTCTTAATATTGTGAGTAACTCAAATTATTCTCGTAATTGTAAATAATTTCCAAAAAAATAATTGGTCAACTTAGAAAAAAAAAAAAAAGGTTAAAGCGGACTTGTCTATCCAAAAATGTTGACATTATTTTGATGTCACTGCAGTTAACTTGGGAAGAGAGCTGAGAAATACTTTGCTTCTAGTTTTAGACGTTATATTCCAACTCTTATAATAATCATTGGACTTGTTGGCTCGGCCAAATCGTTTCAGGGCATTCTGGGATCTATTTTAATATACATTAATGAAGATGGGTTTCGACATACCACTTCCAATAATTCAGATCGCATTTAAGTAATGTAAAGACTTTTATATTTCCCGAGGTTATTATTATTGCATTTTGACAATTTTGCATTACAAAAATTAACCTCAAAGTTTCTAAAAAAATGAAAACTCGAAAATTTAATCCAATACCAAGTTTCCAGAATATCTCGCATGCCGTAATCTAACGTGTTGGCAGGCCACATGGGGCCCATGGACCCCAGTTTGCCCTCCCTGTTCTGAAGCATTTAAACAATAAATTAAAATATTTCTAGCAACACTATAAAATATGCTTGAGCTAACGCAGAATAACTAGATGGGTCTTCTCGGCATAGGTGTATGATATCGGCATTAATTTGATTGTTATGTATTATGAGTTAAAATTAAGTATTAAAGTAAGGAGATAATCTATAAAGTTAAAACAACGACATTTTTAATTATTTAGTGCTATTTTTGTCCATAAATTATCAAACATTTTTTTGTCACAGTGAATGTTTCTGAATTTGTATTGTGTCAAGATTTGTTTTTTGAAAAAAAATATATGTTATTTATGCATTCCTTGATATCAGATTAACTACAATAATAAATATTATTTTATTTTTTAGCCTTACACTATAATGGTTACAATTCACAACTAATTTTTATATGGTAAGTAAAAAGTCCAGAAATGGATTTTAAAAATAAAATAGATTTAATTAATTATATTATCTCTGAAATATCTTTGTGAAACTGTTTGTCTGACATGTTTGATTTACCAATTTGAGGAAACCACGTGACTTGTCTCTCCATACCTGTAAACGTTTGTGATTGGGAGAAACATCTCAACAACATGGTGGACTCTAGCTATGACCGGGACGCTTTCAAAACGGCCAACAGGTCTCTGGTCGTCATCTTCATGATCCTCATTCTGCTCACTAACAGTTGGCTCATTGTCATTAACGTTTCCAAATGTGACTTCATGCACAAGCCAAAAGCCATGACAATTTTATCGTTGGCCATCGGAGACGTTTTCGTGGCTCTGCTTTCTTTGCTTGTGTACACGATGATTTGGTTCGGAGCTTACGGACCAGAGACATTGACAACTACTTCCAATATTTACATGCCTTACCTCATTACCTTCGTGTACGGCCTTGGGCTGATGACATTAGGATTGGAAATCGCTCAGCATGACAGGATCTGTTGCATGAGTGAAGAATGGAAATTCATTTGCTCCATTGCCGCTTGCTGCATTCCGTGGATACTTGGAGTCATCGTTGTCTTACCACTTGGACTATATAACATGGATTCGAAAACTTTGAGATACTCTCGGAAAATTGAGATGTTGAAAGACTTGATTGTTGTGAGCATTCTTCTACCAGCATGCGGTGCCGTCATTACATCCACATGTGTAACTGTTTATGTCCGGTGCAAAGTCCAAGTCGCATACAAACAAGCAGTGAGGAGCAGCCCAAATGTCGTTGTTACCTTAAATACTCACAACACGACTAATATGGATGCTGCGGTCACCAGACACCAACAGACTCTAACTGATGAAGACTGTGAACTCCAACAACCTTTGATGGGACCTCCACAGCCTTATTCTGAACAAGCACACGGTCCAAAGAGTCAACAACAACAATCCTCTCACTTCTGCAATCCGCTCACCACAGAGTTTTCTGCTCCGCAATCTCAACCACACCAAGGCCGTGACGTATATCAATCCGGTGATGACGTTGTCACGTCTGCCCCAGTTAATTCCCGCGTGGTGACGTCAGTAGCAGTCTCGACCAACTCAACGCAGAAACCTGTCAGACTTTTTGTCATTTCATTCGTCTATTTCCTATTAGTTATTCCTTTAGCCCTCTACAACCTCGCCGATGCAAGCGACCTGCCTGGCGTCGCAGCCCACATTACAATAAACTGCACGGTATTTTGGCTAAATATTATGAGATCTGTCGTCACACCACTTATTATGTACGGTTATTCAGATAACTAGACTATTTCTCAACGTCTTGTGACCCCTGAGCTTGAATTATGACTAAACCGTACCGATTCTTTTTATTTTAAATGCTATCAATTTAAAAAAGAAATATATAAATATATATATATATATATATATATATATTTGCACAGCCTATACATTTAATATGTACGATTCTTCAGATGACTAGATTATTTCTTTCGTGACCACTGAGCTTGAAACATGACGATTTGTGCACATTCCTTTTATTATCATGTCTATCATTTTTCACCAAATAGTTATACGCATGTTGAATATTTATTAGTTGAAATGTAATTGACATTAAACCATTTGTTTTGTTATAGCGCATTGTAGAAGGAATTCCCCAGAAATGTTTACATAATTTTGTATTTTGTCTCATAATTAAACCTCAGACATACCGTTTTATTCACACAACTTGATTGTATCTCAATTATTTGACATAAGACAACAAGGTTGCCATTAATTAACAAACACTGATGAACTGTATACATAGGAATAAGGGGGGGGGAGGGGGGAATTCAGTATTTGTTTTAAAGGGAATGGTAAAATAACTTAGATAATTATTTGTACACACTTTCCCACTACTTTATCAGATGATGTAGACTAACGTGTTAATGAATGCAACAAACAATTAAAATGATAAGGTAAAAAGTGTGTGTGTGTGGGGGGGGGGAGGTTAAAAAATATCAATAAGGGAAAGAAAAACATGGCAGGTCATGGCTCTAGTGATCAGGCATCTCCCCCCCCCCCCCCCCCCAGTTCGTCCGTCGAGGATCGACGATGACCATCGAGTCGTCTGGTGACTGATGACTTGCGCGGGTGACTTTTGTTTAAAGTGAGGAAGAGTTGCGCAGCGTCAACCTCACTCTCTCGTCCGGGCCCACCCTATCCAGTGGCAAGACTCTACGTCAAGACGACCAGGGATGGGTTCGGTTGCAGGAATTGTCATTGTTTGCACCTTACGGGACTCCAACTCCGGGTTTGAATTCAGAGTTTCCTTCTCTTAGATGAGTTGCCGACCAAGGTTAACGAGTCTCATCCACCATAATTAAGCATACTATATCTTCAAGTGTACATCTTACAACCGGCACAAAGGATGCGTAGCCTTGGGTGAGTTGGAATTGTTGTAAGGGGCGTTGACTAAGGATGAGGTGGATTGATAATGTGGAGACAGATTTACACCAATTGGGGGGTTCGAGGATGGAAACGGAAAGCCATGGAGCGCTCCGAGTGGAAGGATGTGGTTGAACAGGCCAGGGCCCTCCATGGGCTGTAGTGGCTACTGATGATGATGTTGACTTCATATACATCATGCCGATATGATATTAAGAAAATGAGTGAAAAAAAGTTTTTTGGGAAAACCTGAAAAAAAACAAAAACAAAATGTAGGCAAACAAAACAACGAATGAGTCGGCAAAAAGCCTGCACCCGCGAACAGACAACAGTAAAACCAGAGTTGAATTTTAAAAAAAAATTAACAACTAGCTGAAACGCAGTGTCCTAGAGGGAAGCACGACCCCCTTGCTGATAACATATTCATAAAATAAGATATAACAACTTTATAATCACTAAATAAAAGCAGATGATTATTTTTTTTCAGCGCTTCCTCTCCATTTTAATTCAAACTCACACTTTTAAATAACATTAAATAATTTTTTTAAAAATATGTGTTGATTTCGTTGTAATTGACTTCAGTAATGATTAAAAATCATAATAATAATTTATAATAAAGACACATCCCAGCAACCATCGGATCTTCTTGTAAGCTTTTTAAATTTGGTTAGAAATAAGTTTATCTTAATCAAATCTTTTAATCAGTTTTCATTATTTTTGTGGAGTCAATATTTAAAAAAAAAAATTGCAAACATGGCTTTTATTTTTATTTTTATTTATACACTATTTTTTTTTTTTTAATTTAATTTTTTGCGTTGGTGTAATATCATTAGTGCAGCGGCAGGAACGATAACTACAACAACGGTAGCAGCAACATCAGCAGAAACGTCGACATCATCGACAAACCAACAAGCAACAATTTGTTTGGATTTCCGTGTTCAGTGGCAGAGAAGTAAAGGGAAGGAATTGAATGAATTGCGATTCGACAGTTTTTAAAATTATTGTCCCCCTTTAATTCATTATTTGAACTCTGACTGTAGTTCTATAGCTCAGTGTGACCATGACCTGTTTTGCTTGGTTAATTACTTAGTTGTGTGCAGTTTAGAAAAGTGTGGCAAGTTGAATTGACTTTGATCTCAATGGAACACATGTGTAGTATCAATAGATATTTGTAAACAATGTTCAAAATTGAATGCACAAAACACTGCACTCTCACATAAAATTTAAAAAAAAAATAATTAAAAATCACCTTTACCCCATGTGATAAATGTAATTAAGTTGAAATTTATTTCATTTTCATTATGCAGTTATTGAGGAATGTTTTATAAATTATTTTACATAAGCTCCACAGGTGCACCACATTACAACTGCTATATAAACAAACACCACAGTTGCTCCACATTAAAACTGGTGTGTAAGCTAACACCAAAATTGCACCAAATTGCAACTAGTGTTCAAACAAAAACCACAGTTGCACCAAATTGCAACTGGTGTGTAAACAAACACAAACTGACACAACCTGTCCTATCAAAGTATACACATGTATATCTGACTGCATCAAAAATATATATATATCTCGTTGAATTCATTCGCTCTCAGTAGAAGACACGTTTTCAGAAGACTTCTCCCTACTCATTACATTTCTTGCAATTTCCCCTCTTGCCCATATGCTATATGGTCGTGATAGATGTATTGCTGAGATTGGTCAAATGTGGACGAATATAACGTCCTTCATTAAGGACTTAAATGAGTCAGTGACCCTTTGTCAACTAGTACAGAATGGTTCGTGTCCTGAATTACTTTGTTTATGTTGGGGAAAAAAGTTGGGGGGGGGGGGATTTAAACTTCATTGTCGAGCTAGAACAAATACCCGGGCAAATTTTTTTATATCTTCTGAAATAAGCAAACGTTAACTATAAACTAATCAGAAACTAATTATTAAACTAATATCGGTTGGGCAGTTGCATCAATGGTGAACAACCCCCAAGTCATGGCTCCCTCGAGTGCCTATAAGTCATTGCTACCTCGAGTGCCCACAGGTCAGGGGTATGTCACCACACCACTTGTAAACAGTAAGACCTGACGTATGCTGAGTTGATGCTATGACGAAACCGTTTGAGGCAATCTGACGTAGCAATACCTCCTAACACGTTTAGATATTTAAGAACTACTTTGTAGGTGGAGGGGAGATAGCAATGAAACCGGTGGTATTGGAAGATTGTAAATTTTATTTTACTCAACCAGAGGTCGTCTATAATTTATCGGGGAGGTCATTTAAGTTACGTATAACATCCAAATTCTATGCAACATATGAATTTGAATGATTTACCTTATGTAACTATTCTGTCAAAATTATGAAACATGTATGTAATAAAGGGAAGTGATTTAAAATTAGACTTAAACTATTATCTATTATTATTGATTTGGTTTTATCATAATTAATTTTTTATTTCAAAATAAAAGTTATGTAAAAATAATATACATTTAAATCTGTTTTGACAAAACTAAAGCACTATGTCATCAACTATACAAAATATAACGTCAAGTATGGTGTGAAATTATAAATCATTTTTTAAAACTTAGTAAATTTAGAACCATTTTGCCTAAATTAATTGCATGACTTAATTGATGACATGAATTATCTGATGTCATGACTTTATAGAGTAAATACCTAAATTGATAACATGACTTAACTGATGCCATGACTCAATTTATAACATGACGTAATTGGTGTAATTGATGACATAACTTATTGATGACATGACTCAATTTATGACATGACGTAATTGATGTCATGCCTGAATTGATGACACGACTTAACTGATTGCACGTCTCAACTGATTATGACTTAATTGATGACATCAATTAATTGATGGCATGACTTTATGGATGTCATGACTTTATTGAAGACGTAGCTTAACTAATGGCATGATTAATTTGATGTTGGACTTAATTGATGACATGACTTAACTGATGACATGAATTATCTTGTGCCCAGACTCAATTAATGACACGAATTTGTTGTTGCCATTAGTTAATCGGGCAAATGACTTAATTGATGACTTAAATTAATTGATGGCATGACTTTATGGATGTCATGACTTAATCTGAGATCTCAAACGAGCCTGTCATTATAACGCTGACCTTTGCTCATTTTACATTTGACATGCCAAACAATTGTTGATACCAGTACGAAATGTCAATGGCCCAATAAATAAACTTCAAGAACTTTAAAAAAAGTTTTTTTTAAAAACTTGTACAATTATTTTACTTTGCTTATTAATAAAACATAAGTTGTCGTGTAATGATTAATAAAGGAACCACTGAGAATTGTGTCTTATTTCTTTGCACAATGAGTTGTGATAAGCGCCTGCAATCATATTACCTGTGTTGATTTCCTAACAAGTTCATGTCTTGACATAAAATAATAACATATAAATGAGTTGTTTTCATTATCTCTTTCCTTAATATAGACTTTTAAAACACGCTATAAAAAAGACATCTCATATATTCAAAATGATAATATTGTCTCTTGAAACTGTATTGATTCCTATCATATCTGAGAGGTACCTGAAATGTTCTAAAATTGCTTAATTCATTTTAGCAAATTTAATTTTCTATGTTAAGGTAATAAATAAACAGTTGCAGTATAAAATTTTCTATTTTTTTTACTTTCTTTGTTAACATTCGTTTATTATGCTTGTGTGTGTGTTTGTTTGTAAGTGTGCATGTAAGTGTGATTACTCAAATCTAATTAGAAATAATCGTGTCCAATTACACACATAATATAGACAACATTAAGTCAAAAGTAAAAAAAAAAAAACGCTAGGTGAAGCAGGTCATCTTCCAAAACAGCGCTTACAAAACGGCCATTTGGATAT